TAATACATATGGCTTTTTATGACTGTTTTCAAGGTTCACTAATGTTGTAGCATGTATTAATATACTCCATTCCTTCTCAGGGCACATTTTGTTCATTCATCAACAGACATTTTGGTTGTTTTCATCTTTTGGCCATTATGATAATTGTGTTAAAAACATTCGAGTGCCAAGTTTTCATGTGAACATGTTTTCAGGTCCCTCAGCTGGAGAGTACTGCTGGGTCATAGGGGAACTCCATGTTGAAACTTCTAAGGAACTGTCCAGTTTTCCACAGTGCTGGATTATTTTACACTCCTATTAGCAATATTAGCAATATTTGAAGGTTCTAATTTCTCCATATCCTCAACAAAACTGTTTTTCTTTTATTGTAGCCATCTTAGTGGATGTGAAGTGGTATCTCATAATGCTTTTGCTTTGCATTTCTTTAACAAGTAATGATGTTAAGCATCTTTCACATGCTTATTGGCTATTTGTATATTTTCTATGGACAAATGTCTATTTATGTCCTTTGCCCTTTAAAAACTGGGTCATTGTCTTTTTATTATTGAGTTGTAAGATTCTATGTATGTTCTAGATACTAGGCCCTTAATAGATAAATCGTCTGAAAATATTTTCTCTCATTCTGTGGACTGTCTTTGTTTTGCACTTTGATAGTGTCTTTTGACACACCCAAGTTTAATTTTAATAAAGTGAAAAACAAATGCATTTTGAAATGCAATTAAAGTTCAGCTCACAATATAGTGTTAAAAATCCAGTAGCTTGTTTCATTAAACACAACACACACATTTACAGTAATGTCATAGAACTATTCATCTTCTTTGTCAGGTCTAGTTCACAGGGCACAAGTATATCAGAAGTCTGGCAAGAGACCATCCAGAAAAGTAAAAGGGGAGACATGCCCTGGCTAAGAACACATGGTTGGTGGGTAACAAAGCCAAGGCTACAGCCAAAGTCTTTCACCGCAGAACAGATATTCTTCTCACTCCATTAGCTAGCACAAGACAGCCACAAATCTGCTTTCTGTGTCTGGTATGGGAGGCAATGTACTGAGTAAGGTAAGTACACTGGGTTAAGTACTGAGGAAGCCAGGCTCTGGAAATGTTACGAATATACTGTGTGGTCTTGAGCAGCTTGCTTTACCTTCCTCTCTCCAATCATATCCATGTCTACAAAATGACGTTGGACTATCAGATAAGTACCAAGGGAAACCACTATGGATTATGCAGAATAGTTAAAACAAAACAAACTTTAAAATGTCAGAACTAAAAAGGACTTAAAAAGTCATATAAGACAGGTCTGGAGGTTAACTGTTAAAATGCAGAAGTAATAAAGATGTGTCGGGGGAAACGCAGATGTCCAGGCCTCATCTCCACAATCTGATTCAGGTCTGAGAGGAAGTCCAAAATCTGATATTTTTAAATAATACCCAAGGGAGTCTGATGTAGACAGATTTCATATCATATTCTGAAAAATACTTATCTAATAACCCCAGCTACATATACTTTGTTGAGCATTTACCACGTGCCAGATGCCACCTTTAAGGTAAAAACTCTTATTATCCCCACTTTACAGATAAGGAAACTGAGATACAAAGAGATGTCCTAACTTGCCCAAGAATATACATGTGGCGAGTGGCAGAGCCAGAATTCAAAAGCCAGACGCCTGGCTCCAGAGCCATGTTTTCAACTGTGATACAGAAGCATTTTATAATCAGGCTGATAGCCTAACCAGGAGACAGAAATCCAGGTATGTGGTTGTAAGGGTCTGGATATAGCTTCTGGAAACCATAGTTTAACACCACAGGTCACTGCCAGGTAAAACAAAATGCCTTGATGTATCTGGGGCAAAATTACTTACTGCAGTAAGTCATTCTGTGATGAAGGTAGAAGATTCTATTTGCATATTTATTTTTTAAGATCAGGAAACAAGAATTGCTATCTTCTTAAAGTAAGTTTCACATGAGTAGAAACTCACATATGCTTAGGGAAAGCCATAAGCATGTTTGTAGCTCTACTAAGTTTCATTATGGTCAGTGAAATTACAGTTGCAGAAATGAAGTAAAAACCCTCCCCCCAAATCAAAACAAATCAAATTAAAGAAATTGTATTAAAGAGCCTCTCCTTCCTACAGAGCAAAACCCTCTCTAGTCATTCACATCCTGCTCCACTGAGAATCTTTTCCCCATGTTTTCTCTCACAGACAGTTAAGAGTAACATCCTCTAAAATTGTTTCTGAAGACTGAGGAGGCAGATCTCAAGTTTTCTGTCTGCTGAATTTGATGCTGCGAGTACTTATTCTGTGTTGATCACTAAAGAGAAGCCCTGATGGGAAAAGAGGCAAATACAAATTGCCTGTTTGTATTGGGAATAATGCAACACAGTCCATCACATTAAGTGACAGCTTAATTCCCATGTGCAGTAAGCTCCAGAGGAATTAGACTACAGTTCAACATAAGGCTGAAATAAAGTTTTCCAAGAAAAAGCACTTGAGCAGCTCTTGCCTATTTTCTCTCTCCCCTTCCTGGCTAAATCTTCCAAGCTCTCCTTTGTTAGACCTTTTATTTATTTCTGATAAAGTTAGGATTCTTGTCACCTTGTCATTCTATTTTTATATACCCCTTTATAAAGAATATTGGCCAGCATTGCACAATTTAATCCTTACAACAAGCCTATATGTATGAGTATCCCCAATTGTTTACGCAAGGAAACTGAGGTTCAATAATACCACAAACTTATGCAAGACCACATGGTTTTTTAACATGTTGCAACAAAATTAGTCTTTCTTTTCACTATATATACTATATACTATATATATTATATATACTACAAATTAGCATGGTATATAGCCTTATCAGGCTTTAATTTCTATCTCTCCAAACTGTATAAACTTCCTAAAACCACATTATATGGTCTCAAAAACCTTCAACAGCTTCCTACTCTGAACAAAATCTTATGATTCCCAAATCCAAGTTGTTTCAATAACACAATAACAGCAAATACTATTTTCTAACTACTGCCTTAGCAGAATGTCCATGCTTAATGTTTCTGATGATAGGCCAAGTGGAGATAAGAGCAAGAACAGTCAGTGGGGTAAGATGAGCATAGGCTGTGAGGTGAACATTCAACAGGAAAGGATTTATGGACAAATACAACCAGCAATTCCCAATACTCTCACATGTGTTGAAGCAATATACTATCCCAACCTCTAAAACATGTTCCTGTCTCTTAAGAAGAGTTGAGTATGGGAATAATGTAATTCAAAATCAATGACACTCAAAAAACAAAAAACATAGCCGGGCGCTGTGGTGGGCGCCTGTAGTCCCAGCTACTTGGGAGGCTGAGGCAGGAGAATCGCTTAAGCCCAGGAGTTGGAGATTGCTGTGAGCTGTGACTCCACAGCACTCTCTACCAAGGGCAATGAAGTGAGACTCTGTCTCTAAAAAAAAAAAAAAAAAAAAAAAAACAAGCAAAAAGATCCAAAACCCTCAACATGATCAAGTATTCATGATCTAAGGCAACAGGAAGTCTAAAAGCTGTTTTCAGTTAAAATGAAAAACTCTAGACTGGGCAGGGTGCCTCACACCTATAATCCTAGCACTTGAAGAGGCCAAGGAGAGAGGATTGCTTGAGACCAGAAGTTTGAGAACAGGCCAGGCAACATAGAGACCTTGTTTCTACAAAAAAAGGTCCCAGCTACCCAGGAGGCTGAGCCAGGAGGATCTATTCAGCCCAGGAGTTTGAAGTTGCAGTGTGCTGTCACGAGGCCACTGCACTCTTGCCTAGACAAAAATATGAGATCTTGAGTCTCAATAAACAATCAATCAAAAATCCTGACTGTTCACTATATTAAAGACACTATGCTTAACAATTTTCATGAAACCAGTCCAGGGGCCTACAACAAGAGAATTGCAAGTTACCTTAAGGTACATTAAGGCTAAATCTCTCATTTCAGAAAACAAACCTAGGAAGAGCAAGCAAATTTCAAGGTCATAGAGCTAACCAGAGGCAGAACCAAGCCCAGGACCCAGCTCTCCAAATAATTGTTTCGTCCAGGAGGGCCAACCCAGGAACAGTTTTCCTTTTATTTTAAGCTCCTATTGCTAGGCTTACACAACTAAAAAATAAACTGGATGAGGGCAAGAGAAAAGACATACGAGTGAACAGGCAGCAGCGGACTTAGTGGCAACTGGGTTGGGGGGGGTGGGGGGGATGGGGCAAGAAAAGCAAGGGGGGGGGGGGAGGAAAAATCTTAACGGCTTGTCAGCCCAGTAAGGGAAATCAATACTCAAATATTTTCAGTATTTGGCGTATAAAGACAGAAACTTCTGTAAGCATAAAAGACAATAAGCACTTTAGAATCTGTAGCAGCACCCAAGGGTGATGGCGTTGGGCAGTTTGGGGGGATAGTGACCTGAAGCAGATTCTTTATTTCCTTCAGCCTTTAGTTTTCTCTCTCAGTAAAACAGGGCACTTTCAACCGTGGCCCCAGCACCACCGGGGGGAAAGCGATAGCCACCACGGTGAAATGCTGGACTAATCAAATTATCCGAGGCAGCTGTGGTGGTCAGCATGAAGGACCAGGGACACTTAGGAAAAAGAAAGAAGACCGAAAGGCCCAGGTTTGAGTGTGGTGAGAGCGGGCTACAAGCGCTCGTAGCATTCTCACCGTGGGCCAGACAAGGGCTCCCCTCAAGAGGCCGCAGAAAACATGGGTGACAGGGACGGGAAGGTTCGTCGCCTCCCAAGCACCCCCAGGACTCGACTGTTCCCAAGAACCAGATGCTCACCTTATCTAATAAGCCGCTACGGCTACTGCCTAACCCGCAGCTGGAACCACCGCCAGATCCACCGCCGCCTCCGCCACCACCGCTTCTCCCGCCCTGTGCAGCCGCAGCCGCCATCTTGTCCGCCTCGGCGTCTCCCTCCCCCTCCGACTTGTCGGAAGTCGATTGGCTGAAGCTGATGGCATGACGCGCCGCGCAGAGTCCTTCGGGATCCGTAGTTCGCGGGCTCGCTGACGGGAGGTTGTCAGCGCAGTGGCGCGGGGCTTGCCGGGACTTGTGGTTAGAAGCCTCCGCCGCCCGTTGCCACTTACACTGCTGGCCGCAGCGTCGCGGTTACTAAGAAGTGAGGAAGGTAGCGGCAGACGGCACCGTGGAGCTGCTCCGAGATCCCCGGGAGGTTCGCAGGCGCGCATCCCGCCTCCCCAGGACGTCGCCTTTGCCGACCGCTCGAAGGAGAAAGCGACGGCGGAGGCAGGTGCGCCTGGAAACTTAGTTTGCTTCAGTTCAGTCTTCCCTGGTCTGGATGAGGAGTTTCCAAAGGGGCAGGGAGAAGTTCGTCTTCTCTAGCCCTGTTATGAAACCAGTTATTCTCTCTAGCGACTGTCATTTTAGTTGTTAGTGAAGCTGCTAAGGAAATTTTACTCCAGAGTGTGGCTACCTGGCGTAAAGAATATTTTCAATTAAAGGCCATTGGCGATCAAAAACTTCGGAAGGGGATTTTCCTCTGCATAAAACCGGACTGACCAGATCAAAGGGGGGCAACTGACTTCCTTTCCTCCCCTGGAAAGCTAGCAAACCTGGCCCAAATCTCAAGTTGATTGGGAAGTCATTCTGTTTCCTCCTTTTATTCATCCTCCCTAGCAATCGCTTGCTGTACTTGTACTCCACGTTTCCCTCTCCCTTCTGAAAGATACCTGACCATCATTGGGAAGCTGGGTAATCAATCACTCTTGTGGTTACCCGCCACGTGCATGGTATTTTTGAAATAAACATTTTTCTTATTAATCTGCTTTAACTGAGTTGATCTTTCAGCCAACTTTCAGGGAGGAAAGGGCAAGTTTCACGATGATCCCTACCTTAGTAACATTGTCATGTTATGGAGATCACCTTTATTGAGTGCCTGTTATCTGCCTGGCAGTATCTTATGTGCATTTACATCCATCTGAGGCCAGAAAAGTGGTGGGCAAGAAGCAGTCTAAGAAGCTAAGCTGAAACCGTGCAACTGACCGAGTCTGCTTAGCTCACATACTTCCCCCATTACCCCGGTAATTATCTAGTTAAGGTTTCACTATGATTGTGAGGATGTTTATCTCAGGAGACTCTTAGGAGGTAGTCACACATAGACAATAGGTATTGTGATATTGGTAGAGTAAAGGTTACTTTGATGATGTTTTCTCTTAGATATTTTGTTAAAATGAAAATCACCTTTCTATTGTTTAAACATTTTGCATTGTCAGGATGGAGACTACTTTGATGTTACTTCCTATCAGATAAAGTTAAATTTTTCTAGGTTGGTTTCCTTGTATTTCATTATAAAAGTTGGGCGGCACCTGTGGCTCAAGGAGTAGGGTGCTGGCCCCATTTACCAGAGGTAGTGGGTTCAAACCCAACCCCGGCAAAAAAAAAAAAAACTCATTATAAAAGTTATTAGAATTGTAACTGAGGCAGAACAGAATTGAGAGGCTACTCTTGCTATTCTCCAGAATCACTGCCTTCTGAAAAATAAAGCTTGTTTGGACCTAAACCCCATTTCTGCATATGGGTTGGACAGTGATAGGTGGCTGGACCCTCTTTGTCCAATAACATGTCCCCTTTCTTATTTGGTCCCATTAACAGCCCTGTCAGATTAGTAAATTAAAGAATTTATCCAAATCCAGGTATTGTGTATCAGAATCCTGTTTTGAAGCCAGTTGTTTTTATTTTTTACCTCAAAACCAGTGGTATTCCCCCTCTGACACTCTGCTTTTACAGTTTTAGGATGTAATAGTATTCTAGATTTTAATTAATTATTCATTTATTATTTCCCACAAATATTTATTAAGCACCAATATGCCTGGTGCTAAGGGATGCCCTGGGATCAAGACAGACCTGGTCACTACTCTGGTGGAATTCCTAGTCTAGTCACCTAGAGTTATCATATAGCAGTATTGTATTATACTATGTTTTTTTGTTTGTTTTTTGTTTTTGTTGTTTTTTAGAGACAGAGTCTCATTTTGTCACCCTCAGTAGAGTGCATGGCATCACTGCTCACAGCAACCTCCAGCTCTTGGGCTTAGGCGATTCTCTTGCCTCAGCCTTCCAAGTAGCTGGGACTACAGGCGCCCGCCCCAATACCTGGCTATTTTTTTGTTGCAGTTTGGTCGGGGCCAGGTTTGAACCCAGCACCCTCCATATATGAGGCCAGCACCCTACTCACTGAGCCACAGGTGCCGCCCCACACTATGTTCTATCACATTGTATTACTTGTTTTTCCCCCCAAATGCCCACCATAAATAATGGAACAAATATTATTGAATTGCTTACTGTGTAGCAAGCCCTTTTCTAGTCACCAGCAATATATCTCTGAATAAAACAAACAAAAACCTGTTTGGAAAAACTAACATTCATGGGCCAAGCCCAGCGACTATCATGTGTAATCCCAACACTCTGAGAGGCAAGGTAGGACAGTTGCTCAAGCTCAGGAGTTTGAGATCAGTCCAAGCAAAAGCAAGATTCCATCTCTACTAAAATGGAAGAATTAGCCAGGCACTATTGGGAGCACCTGTCCCAGCTACTTGGGAGGCTGAGGCAGGAAGATCACTGAGCCCAGGAGTTGGAGGTTGCTGTGAGATAGGCTGATGCCATGGTACTCTAGCCCATCAACAGAGTGAGACTCTGTCACAAAAAACAAAACAACAACAAAAAAACCCCTAACATTTATGTGAAAATAATTACCACTAAATAACATGAGGTGAGATTTCTCTACTTCTGTGAGGCAGTCCCTGGCCACTCTAGTCAGATGCCCCTGTAGCTTGTTCTTATTGTTTATCTTTTATAACTTCTCATTTTTCAAGACCTAGCTTTAATACCATTTATTCTGTGAAAACTTTCCTGATCCTTACTTTTTCCTTCTTCACTGACCACATGAAATGCTCCTATGGCACTTTGTTTATAGTTTGTTGTAGTTCATTTAACACTCATTGAGACGCTCCCTCCAGTAGAGCAGATCCTGTGGGAGATATAGGACAGAGAGATAAAGCCCTAGCCGCCTGCCCTTGGAGGGACTCAGAGCCTTGTGCTGGTGGGATGGGGAACAAACAAGGAAGCAAGCCAGTATAACACAGTATGGCAGAGTGCCTTCACTAAGAAGTGGCCTGACATGGTGGCACAGAGGAGGATCAACCTAAGAAGAGGGAGATACAGGAAAGCTAGCTGTATGAGGCAGGCAAAGAAGAGGGGCTAAAGGAACAGAATAAGCAAATTTATGTATATGAGGAGCATTACAGACAGAGAGAGTGTGAGTATGTTGGAGCCAGGAGGCACTACGATTAGAATGGCATTAGCTGCCTCGAGTTAGAAGCAGAGAGCTAAGGTAGCTGAAGCTAACCAGGCAGGTAATCTCCATGTCTGGAATTCATACTTTCTTTTTTCTACCATATAAAGTTCATACTTCTTTAGAGTTTCTTTCTAGATAATGCAAACTGGAAGTTATGTGCCCTTCTTGGCCCATTAGTTGTAGATCCACACACCTAATAGTCTTCATAGAGAACTGGAATTTCTGTGATTGGGTTCAGGCATGTATGCCTCCCACAAGCCTGAGACTGATACACCCTTTGTGTTATATGCATAGTAAATGTCTTTTTCCAAACTGTATCTTATATTTCAATTTTATCTTTGATATTTTTATTCTGCAGTAATTTATTTCATGTAAAATGATTATGTAAGCAGTCTCTTGAGATTTGTGCTTTATGCATCTTATTTAAGCACTGCAACTGTACCCTATTTCCATAAGAGTATTATCCTATACTACCTTCCCATTTCTATCTCTATCACTACATCTCTATAGATGGATCTTTAGTCCTGTGATTTTTTTCCTAGACCCCAAGCAAGTCAAATTTTGGAACAGAAAGCTTACAATAGAATGTAATTAATGAGAAACTTCAAGAGGTTTGAATAGCAGGCTAAGAAGGAATATAATATCTATTTTACAGGTGAAGAAACAGGTGAAGAAACAAAAGAAAAAGGAAGTCAAGGGGTCATTTCCAAAATCAAAGATCAAGTAAGTACTCTGCACACCTGAAACCAGGTTTCTCCACTCTGTAAGTTACTGGAGACTTCTCCAACAGTCATTATCTCTAACATTTCTGAGCAACATTTTACACATTCATCCCTTCATTTATCTGTCTAGCAGATAGATATGATTGGTTATAAGGAAGATCTCCTGAAAGACATATTGACTGAATATAAATCTGTCCCCATCCATCCATCTTTCCATCAATCTTCCCAGTATATTTTTAGTGAGTTTTAGGCTCTATGCAAGGTACTGGGATTACATAAGGTAATCATAGGCTCCATAGCAGATGGGAAGTTAGTAAAGGGAACAAACAGTTATAATAAAGTGGTAAGTACTATACTAGGGGAAGTACTAGGTACTGTAGGAACACATACAAAGGGCCTCCAAACTTTTGCAGGGAAAGTAAGGGACTAGGAAATTCATAATGCCCTGTGTTGGACCAAAGGAGATAGCAACATTCATTCCTTTGTTTATTCCATGGATACTTGTGGAGTCTGTTATGTGCCAGGTTCTGTATTTGGAATAAATTGATAAATACCCTAGATACTGCCCTTTTTCTGAAGGAGTTTAAAGCCTAATTAGGAAGATAAATATATATATGTGTGTGTGCGCTTGTATATCTGATATGCATAAACCTGCCTACCTTGAGTCCTAGGAGTTCTGTCCCATCTTTCACTTGGCTCACATATGTCTAGTGGGTGCTTTCTATGAGCTAACTCCCACAGGTGAAAGAGAAACAGGGAATTAGATGTGTTTCCAGACTTGGAGACTGGTAGTCCATTGAAGGAGCTCCCTCATGGTTGTCAGTAATCTTCTGAGGTAGAAAAGATTCAGGCTGTGAAAGAGAGATGCATGAAAGACTCTAGGGCTTAGCAAAAGCAGCAATTATTTCCACTGGAAGATTCAGTGAAGGCTTTATTGAAGGAATGGCATCTAGGTGGGGTATAGAAAGATGTTTTTAATTTTCTTTCTGTTCTATTACCTTATCTAATTCTTACCACAATTCTCTAAGGCACAGAATTTTTATCCTCATTTTATGTGTGATAAATCTGAGATATATAGAGGTAAAGTTATTTGTCCAAGGTTACCCAGCTTAGTAGTAGAAACTAAACTCAAACATAAGCTTCCCATTTCCAAAATTGTTTCCCTTCCTACTGTATTACTTTACATTTATAAAGTATCACTTGTAGAAATCCTCTCAGGACACCTCGATCTCACCTTTCCACACTATTCATTCCCTTTACTGAACTCTTCCTAGACATTTTATATTGTGGTCCCACATTCTTTGCATGGCCTCTCTTCCCCCAGGCAGGAGTTGTAGTTCCCAAAATCTCTGCTTCTTCAAATTGTCTGAAGCTGTCTGAAAAATAAGTTTGAGGATGGCTAGATTCAAATACTTTAAAGAGAAATATTATGACATCTGGACTTAAGAAACTTAGATCCTTGAAGTGCCATTGGAGCTGAATCTAGAGGATGAGATCAGATGAGCAAGATGGCAAAGTTTAGTTTAGGCTGAAGGAATGTCAAGAACAAAAACAGGGAAGACTGCATGTGAATGGTCTATTTGGGAAATAGAAAATGACTCCATGGACCTGAATGGGCAGGACTGACTGCACCTGGAAAGATTAGAACATTGGCCTTCAAGGCCTTGAGACCAGATTCAGGCACCTGGCCTTCATGCTTAGTGGGAACCCAGTCAAAAGATTCTTACATCTCTTCTAGGGAGAGATAACAAATGATTTGATGAAAATATTGGCTATGTCTCTGACATTAAAGACAAAGCTTTTGAATGAGCCCAAGAGCTCAAAGATTGAAAGAAATGGAGAGCAAAAACAGATCCTTCTCTCAGAGAGCTCTGGGATAATTTGAAGGAAACTAATATGTGCCTTATAGGAATCCCTGAAGGTAACAAAGTTGCTTCACAAAACACAGAGGCTCTTCTTCATGAAATTATGAAAGAGAACTTTGCAGACATGCCAAGAGATTCTGAAATTCAGATAGCAGATAGTTTCAGAACCCCAGCACAACTCAACCCAAACAAAACATCCCCCAGGCACATCATAATTAACTTCACTAAAGTTAATATGAAAGACAAAATTCTGAAAGCAGTTAGATGTAAGAAAACCATAACCTACAAGGGAAAGAGTATCAGGATGACTGCAGATCTCCCTTCTGAAACCTTTCAGGCTAGAAGAAAGTGGTCATCGACTTTTAATCTCCTAAAACAAAGTAACTTTCAACCCAGGATCCTGTATCCAGCTAAACTGAGTTTCATCTATGATGGAGAAATTAAATACTTTCACAACATTCACATGCTGAAGAAATTTGCCATAATTAAACCAGCTCTCCAGGAAATTCTCAAACCTATCCTCCATAATGACCAGTACAATCCTCCACCACAAAAGTAAAGTCACTCAGAAACTTTTGATCAAATTCCAACTTCCACAGTGGCGAAAGGATTAAAAATGTCTACTGGGCTTTCGAGCAACTCAATGCCCAAAATTTTACCAGGCTTATCAATAATTTCAATCAATGTGAATGGCTTAAATTGTCCTCTAAAGAGGCACAGATTGGCTGATTGGATACAGAAACTCAGACCAGACATCTGTTGTATTCAAGAATCGCATCTTACTTTAAAAGATAAATAAAGACTCAGGGTGAAGGGATGGTCATCTATATTCCAGGCAAATGGAAAGCAGAAAAAAGCAGGTGTTGCAATTTTGTTTGCAGATACAAGAGGGTATAAACCAACAAAAGTAAGCAAGGATAAGGAAGACCATTTTATATTTGTTAAGGGTAATACTCAATATGATGAGATCTCAATTATCAATATCTATGCACCTAACCACAATGCACCTCAATTTATAAGAGATACTCTAACAGGCATGAGCAACTTGATCTCTCCCAGCTCCATCACAGTCAGAGTTTTGTTTTGTTTTTGAGACAGAGCCTCAAGCTGTCCCCCTGGGTAGAGTGCTGTGCCATCACAGCTCACAGCAACCTCCAACTCCTGGGCTCAAGGGAGTCTCCTGCCTCAGCCTCCCAAGTAGCTGGGACCACAGGCACCCACCACAATGCCCAGCTATTTTTTGGTTGCAGCCATCATTGTTGTTTGGTGGGTCCAGGCTGGATTTGAACCCACCACCTTAGGGGTATGTGGCTGGCGCCTTAGCCACTTGAGCCACAGGTGCCAAGCTCATAGTCGGAGATTTTAACACTCCTTTGGCAGTGTTGGACAGATCCTCCAATAAGAAGCTTTGCAAAGAAATTTTAGATTTAAATTTAACTATTCAACTTTTGGACCTAACAGACATCTACAGAACATTTCAACCTAACAAAACTGAATACACATTTTTCTCATCACTCCATGGAACACAACTCCAAAATCGATCACATCTTAGGTCATAAGTCGAACCTCAGTAAATTTAAAAGAATAGAAATTATTCCATGCATCTTCTCGGACCATCATGGAATAAAAGTTGAACTCAGTAACCACAGGAATTTGCAGTCTCATACAAAAACATGGAAGCTAAATAACCTTATGCTGAATGATAGATGGGTCAGAGACGAGATCAAGAAGGAAATTACCAAATTTTTGGAACAAAATGATAATGAAGACATGAGTTATCAGAACCTCTGGGATACCACAAAGGCAATCCTAAGAAGGAAATTTATAGCATTACAAGCCTTCTTCAAGAGAACAGAAAGCGAGAAAGTTAACAAGTTAATGGGCCATCTCAAGCAACTGGAAAAGGAAGAACATTCCACTCCCAAATCTAGCAGAAGAAAAGAAATAATCAAAATTAGAGCAGAATTAAATGAAATTGAAAACAAAAGAATTATACAACAGATCAATAAATCAAAAAGTTGGTTTTTTGAAAAGGTCAATAAAATAGATAAACCTTTGGCCAACCTAACCAAGAAAAAAAGAGTAAAATCTCTAATCTCATCAATCAGAAACAGTAAAGATGAAATAACAACAGACCCATTAGAAATTCAAAAAATCCTTCAGGAATATTACAAGAAAAAATGAAAATCTGAAGGAAATCAATCAATACTAGGAAGCACGCCACCTCCCAAGACTTAGCCAGAATGAAGCGGAAATGTTGAACAGGCCTATATCAAGTTCTGAAATAGCATCAACTATATAAAGTCTCCCTAAAAAGAAAAGCCCGAGATCAGATGGCTTCACATTAGAATTCTACCAAACCTTTAAAAAGGAACTAGTAACTATATTACTCAACCTTTTCCAAAATATAGAAAAAGATGGAATACTACCTAACACATTCTATGAAGCAAACACCACCTTGAT